TATGTTAAAGCTGTAATGAAATGCTTCTTCTAATCATGTAGTTATTCAAAAATTTTTTAAGAACTTCAAAAATAATAAAAAGTCTAAGACAAGGACATATAAACATATTTATAAAGTATTATTTCATAAACAGCTATATACTAAAACAAAACAAAACAACACAACCCTATAGTCTATAAACAGGGAAAACGCACTTACTGAGAGTGAATCTTCTCCAACTTGGCTACTGGCTAGAGCCATGATGTTAGGAGAATAAAATCGCTCATACATGGATGCACCTTGGCAAGTATCAATAATAAACAACAGCTCGTTGTAGCTGAAAGAAAAGTGACAGTATTTGTGACAAGAATCATTCTGCTAATTGTACACCAACATTTCTCCAATCCTTCCACAGGGTAAGCCACAGCCATCTATTAGCTAAGGTTAAAATAAGAATCCCATCAGCCAGGGCGTGCTGGGGCACTCCTTTAGTCCCAGTATTCACGAGGCAGAGACGGGAGGATCTCTGTGAGTTCAAAGCCAGCTAGGTCTACATAGTGAGTTCCAGGCCAGCTGGGGCTACAGGGAGACCCTGTCTCAAAAAGATGAAGATGAAGATAGGAGGAGGAGGAGGAGAAGGAGGAAGAGGAGGAGGAGGAGGAGGAGGAGGAGGAGGAGAAGGAGAAGAAGAATCCTATCCAGGAAAACCACCCAAGAGTGGTTATGTCACAAGTAGCTGCCACCACCTTTCTCCTTTGGTTCTAAGCCATATGATTCAGACAAACATTGAATAAACCCAACACTCAACTTGTCTTGGAAACTGAACATGTACATAACTCAACTGCAAACATATGTATGAACATACATGTGTATATACTCTGTCTATGTTTCTATCTCATATATGTGCACACGACTCAGTCACCATACTCAAATAATGTTGGCTGTAACAGAAGGTAAACAATGCACGTAGCTAAAAGGAATGAGCTGCTGCAAACACACCAAGAGCTGGTGTAGCGGCTGTATTAGCTACTTTCTCACCCCCAGAGGCAACTTGGGGACTTCATGTTGGCTCTCCAGTCCTCAGATAACTGTCCTCACAGAGGGGATGGCATGGTAGCTGAGCAGCTCTATCCATGGTGGTGGGAGCCAGTGGAACAGTATATTCACCTCTGTGGTTCAGGAAACCAAAGACTGTGGTCATATCAAAAGATCAGGATTACCTTCAAGGTCCACCAGCTCCAACAGTTAGGAAGCAAGTGTTCAAACAAATGAGCAGGGGTGGGGGTGGGGGCAGGCATTTCATACCTAACCATCACAGACTCAGGGCTGGTTCTGGCCTGCTTTCTCTGCTTCCTGATCCACCAAGATGTGAACATCCCATGCCACAAGCTCCTGCCACCACAACAGTCACCCAGCCACTGTGCCTTTCCTACCATAATGGGCTGTACCTTGCACAACTGGGGACATGATAAGTCTCTCCTCCTTAAATCTGCTTATCACGTATTTTGTCCTAGCAATGAAAAGACTAACACAGAAAGCTGGTACTGAGAAGTAGGGTCAATGGTGTGATAAACCTGACCATGTGGTTTCTAGGCCTTTAGAAGCAGTTGCAGGAGAAACGTGGAAGAGTTTGGAGTTGTGGGCTAAAGGGTCTAGAGCTCAACAGGCCACTGACTGGACATTCAGAAGGCCAACATGGAACAGAGATGTGGAAGTAAAGACTGCTCATGAGGTCTCAGAGAAAAACAGGAACTGGACTAGAGCCCATTGCTTCTACATCCTGGCAAAGAATCTGGCTGCATCCTGCCTGTGTCCTGAAATACTGAGTTCAAAAGTAATGAACTCATTTAGTGGCATCCATCTGTAACATCAACTACTGAGGCAAGAAAATCATGAGTTTAAGGCCAGCCTGAGTTACATAACGAGACTGTGCCACACACATAAATAACCCGAGATACACACAGAGACACTCTCTCAAAAAAAAAAAGAGAGAGAGAGAGAGAGAGAGAGAGAGAGAGAGAGAGAGAGAGAATGGAGAGAATGAGAATGAATGGGGGATATAATATGTTGACATCAGGCTGGGGATTCAAAAATTCTGCCTTCATGGAGCTTAGGGCCTGACAAAGTCAAACTCTATGAGCACTGAGGAAGGAACAGAGGGACTACAAAGAGACGGTCAGGGAAGGGTGACACCTGACGTGGGCAGTGAAGGTGACCACTGTTACACTCAACAGACAAAGGAAAAAGCTCCCATTTAGGAAGCAACAAGGTCTGGGAAAGGGAAACCGCTCTGGGTATGTAGCTAGCGTTTAAAATGGAAGAAAATTGATTTCGAAAAGTTCTGGGGTGGGGCCACCTTGCAATGGTCCCATATGAAGTCTCCACTTCACCAAAGTGGTTTGTTTTTATTTATAGTTTTTAAAAAGAGTAACGTAAACAGATCTCCACTATACCCTACGATGGGAAGCTGGCAAGGTAGAAGGAGGAAGGAATTAGGTTTTCAAGGAGGTTTTCCTCAGATTCAAAGGCTGGTAAACAGCTAGCATTTCTCCTAGAAAAGGAGGTACAGAATTTTGAACCCCAATAGCCAGGCATGACAGAAGGCACAATAATAACACAGTTGTTCTGGGAAAAAAACATGGAGGACCTTAAGGATCAGAAAGCTGGTTATGAAGGGCCAGGCAGTAAAACCAGGAGCAAGCTGGGAGCAGACCACTTGGGCCTAAGTCCCAGCTCTGGCACTGTTAGCTTTTCAGGTTTCATAAGTTACTTAACCTGCCTGTGCTTGGTTGTGTAAGTGAACACAACAGTCTCCATCTTAAGAGTTCCTACTAAAAGTAATATGACTTCCAGTATGTGTCCAACACTGCCAGTGTCAGAGAAAGCTTGCTTCTCAGCCTTTCCACACTCTGCTCTTGTGGACATTTCAACATGGGTGTTAATTCTGCGCCACAGCTGTGCATCCACCTACCTCTCCCCTGTATTTCAGGTGCTTCGAAGGCAGAGTGAGTGTCACAGCCCCTCGCATGTCGTGTGTATAAAAAGCAAGCCATCCGTGCTTGCTGCAGGCAGCGAGGTCAAGGCAGTCCTGTTGCCCGTGTGTTTATGTTCATATGCTGGTGACAGTCAACTAACAGGACCCTTACCAAGGATTACTAACAAGATATGCAACACTTAATGTAAGTGAAGCCACAAAGTTTACAGCAACCATAATTTCAGTAACTTTCTTCTAAAGAATAAAGAAGACATCACTGTAACACTATGAACCAGAAAACGTCCTGGGAAGAAAAGTTACAAATGGAAATATAGATAGATGTTCACAGTGTCCAGAAATAATCAGGGATTTGGCTGAAGGGATTCTTATTTTTTCCAAAAATGAAGCGAAATAACAAGAAAGGTGATCGTAAGAGTCAACTCAGGGCCAGTGAGGCGACACAGCGGATTAGAGCACTTGCAGTTAAGCTTAATGACCTGAATTCAGTCCCTGGAACCCACTTGGTAAAGGTCAGAGCCAACTCCCTTAAGTTTTCCTCTGACCTTTACAGGCACACTGTGGCACATGAGCACACACACACACAAACACACACACACACACACACACACAATAAAAATTGTTTAAGTCTATTCATTTGTGTTATATAATAACCCTGAATTTTTCTTTTACAAAATTCAATTCAATGAAATAACAAATATAAATGTCAAAGGGTAAAAGAAATGATTAAGACAAGTTAAAAACCATACAAAATAGCCAGGTGTGGTGGCATACGCCTGTAGTCCCAGCACTTGGGAGGCAGAGGCAGGCGATCTCTGTGAGTTCAAGGCCAGCCTGGTCTACACAGTGAGTTCCAGGCCAGCTGGGGCTATAGAGAGACCCTGTTTCAAAAAGACCAAAAAAAAAAAAAAAAAAATCATATAAAATAAGAGCTTCAAATCCACCACAAAAGTTCTGAGATTAAATTATCTTCTAAAAAGAAGTCACTGGCTTGGGGCTAAGGACGAAGCTCGGGGTAAAGCACTTGCCCAGTATGCCTAAGGCCCTGTGTTCAGTACCCTGCATTGCCAAGAAGAAAAAAGAAAAAAGAAATGAAAAGCATTATTTGCTAATTACCGTCTTTTCTGCCACATCTGTTCAAAAGCATCTGCAAGTTCTATGTTGGTAATTTCTTCAGAATCTTGGAATTTCAAGAAACCATTTCCCCCATGACCTTGTAGAAAGAGTCAAAATGATAGCACAGGCATATTTTCTAATGCATACAGAAGTCTATGCAATAATAAATACATCCAGATACACACACTTACATCATTTGTTGCAATATTTTAATACAGGCTGTGAAAACAAATTTAATTTTCTATCCTATCAACTAAAATAGAATGACGGACTACATTAAAAATAGTACATATAAAGCTTTATGAGTTCTCTGTCCTTCAATTCCAAACCTACCTACTGGCTGCATCAGCAAGTCATAACTTTGTTTCACTCATAAAAATTCTCTACACTTTCGGTAAGAAGGGTCTAAACCACTAGCTGTGCGTGTGCTGTTCCGTGCACACTCATAATGCTGTTACTACTGAGTATGAATCTCAACTACAGGGTGATGTTTCTGCACTGACCAGTGAGCACAATCCATTAGATCTACCAGAAGACCGTGACATGACAGAGCCAGTCTGTCTGGACTAAACTAGCTGTGCTGCTTACTGCCTATGCTATTTTGAGTTAGTAACTTCATCCTCGTCTTCCTCAGTCATAAAGTCAGACCATCACCAGCTTATGTGGGTCCTTGTGTCGATGTTTAAAGGCACCTTCACTGGGAGCAAAGGAGAATAAAGTTTATTTTATTTTTCACCCTCTTAAGATCCTTAGTGTCTGGTGACTATGGCTTTGTGAGGAAAAATATATTCCTCCTTTGAGAGGGCACCACACACAGGTAAGTCTAAACACACAAGATTTCAGTGCCCACATAAAGCTAGGCCAAGTGCTTGTGTGCACTGTAAGGCCCACACAACCACACGGCAGCTCTAGATATCGGCACCTAAGCCAACAGGCTGCTCTAAGGATGAAATGTGCTCACACACACACAATAATTTAAGATAGTACATGATAGCTATAAAGCCTCCAAATATTAGCTATTATCAATCTGTTATCATAATCATCAGCTGTTCTATGTTACAGACTTTAGCGACTTTTCTCTAGAAAGAACTGGACAAAAAACGTGTTTTGAACTAGCTACTAGACTCTGGCTTTGCAGCAGGGATGGAGCTGGAGACAACATACAAACAAACAGATACGACTGTGTCCTCAAAAGCCAAGTCCAACTCAGGAGCACAGGCCAGCAAGCTCTGTCCTAAACTACTGGACTTCCTTCCATATCACCTAACCAGGAAAAGAAATATGAAAATATGCAAACCCATAGCTTAGTACATCAACTGAAGCCAAGCTATAAAACTACTTTATTGCATTTCCCTGAAAAGCACAAATTTTCTTTTAATTTTCAGAGAAGTTAAAATGAAAAACTCCCTGATTTCATTAATTCTATTCATTTATAAAGCTTGTAAATTGTGGAATCTTAAAAAGTGGTAAATGACTGCAGCACCACAGAGTCAGACTAGCTGCTGCCTGCCATGCAACATCTAATACCTGGGCCCACACACGTGTGGTAAGAGAACTAAGCCAGGCCACAGAGTGCCTTAGTTCCAACATTCCTCAAGGCACAGGAACAACTACAACTACCTCTTCCATCTTGGGAATATGCTCACTCAGTTTCATGAATCCCACCCCAGACCAGAACAGAGTAAGAATTTTAGGATAAGGTCTGAGTACTTACATTGGGTTACTTCTTAGGTTTGCTAAAACTTAAGACTGAATTGATCTACGATCACTGTAAAGTTTGTTGCTGTTGTTTTAATATTTTATTATTTTTATTTTATGTGTATGAGTGTATTGCCTGTATGTATGCAAGTGCACCCGTGTTGTGCAATGCCGCGGAGGTCAGAAGAGGGCTTCAGATTCCCCTGGATCTGGAGTTAAGAACAGTTCGTAGCCGCCATTTGGGTGCTGGGAATTGAACCCGGGTCCTCTGCAAGAGCAGTCAGTGCTCTTAACCTGCTGAGCCATCTCTCCAGCCCCATCACTGTAAAGTTTTAAGCAGAGAAGGGACAGGTTTGTAATTTCTATGAAGCACTTCAGCAGGATGACTAAAGCAGAATAAAACTGAAGGCATCAACACAAAGCAGGAGTCTCCATAAAAGGTGATTCCGCAAAGATCAAGGAGACAGGAAATAAGGAACCGCGGGAAAGTTAGAAACGTGGGTGCCAGGAGAGTTCCAGTTGTTTCCACGTAGTCAGATGTTTTGGGACTAGGACCCAGATATAAACAGGAAGTTAATTTATGTTTCATAACCCACCTTATGCACAGAGCCTGAAGGTAATTTTGTACACTTTTAGTGTGCTTGCTTTTTGACTCCTACCTGTCAATGAAGGCAGATATGAAGTTTTCTACTTGGGGCATCTTTACAGGTAGCCAAAAAATTTATATTTTGGAGCATTTTGAATTTCAGATTTTTAGATTAAGGCTGCTCAACCTGTATCACTTTCAAATATTATTTCAAGCAGGTCTATATCATGAAAATAAACTACATGAGAAGATATATCAACCAAAAGCCACTGCGTGTACTTAAACATCTGTACATGTGAGTTTCCTTTCAACATGCATCAACCTAGTCCACTATGAAAGCTCTAAACTCTGAAATCACCTGTCATATAAATAAGAATATTGCTTCTGTCATCAGAAAGAAGACGCTTTGATCGAGGAGTGCTAGGCGGGATCCTTCCAGTTAACACCCGTAAAAAGTTCTCCACGGTTACCTGAAAATAACAGCATAAATCATATGAAACAGAATCTGAAGAACTTGAAAAAAAAATTTAATTTAAAACGTTCCTACATATAGACTGTTCTGCATAAACTGAAAAGAGAAACAGAAAAGGAATTACACCTCAAGGAAAATATCTGTTAATACATTTAAACATATACCTCCAAGAGACTGCTCTAAAACTGAGAAGTGGTCTGATGTGGCTGCACACCCTCCAACCCCAGTATTCAGGAGACTAGGGCAAGGGAACTGGAAGTCCAAGGTCAGACTGGGCTATATAGCAAGACACTACCTAAAGAAAATAATAATAATAATTTAAAAAAGCAAGCAAAGGCTACCTTGGAGAAAATTCATTTAATTCTAATTTAAAACTTTAAATACTATGCTTTAAAATTTGGCCCCAAAGCCTAAGAATGCTTACTGATTTGCTTATACAGGCAATTCTTTGGGAAGATACAAAATATAAATATTTATATATATATTCAGTTACATTAATCTGTACAACTCCGTAGTTAATTATAGATTAATCATGCAAGAGCACAGTTTCATAAATAATCCCCCAAATTCTGTATCTTTAATCTCAGGTGCACTTTATCACTTACATTTCATTAGGAATGTATTCCACATGTAAAACCTCATTAACACTTTACACCCAATTTCCCAATCTGGAATTTCTAGTCATCTGGGATTCTTTGAAGGCATTCTTAAGTAGTAGAGACTAAAACGTAATGTAAAGCTAACAGCTGAGTCTGCATCGTGCACACCTAATTTTAAAAGCAGACAATATATCCAGCTTTCTCGCTGGATTTCTCCCTATACCCACAGTGTGAAACATGCATGAAACTGTGTGTACAAGCTGTTCGGCTTACATTTTTCCAAGAGGGCATCAAAATGCTATTAGATTTAAACAAGACCTCATGCTGGTTAGTAAGGGAGGATTTTTTTTTTTTTTTACACTTTAAATAGACTAAATTAAATAATGCACCTCATAGCTCCTGTAATCCACCTCCACATCATCTCCATAGACATTGAGCTCCATGTTCTTATGGCTGAACACTGTGGCCGGCTTGGGATTTCTAGCATTGCACGCCATATCATCAGCAAGCATCAGGACAATGTGGCTAGGAGAAAATGCCAGAAAACAACTTCTAAATAAAGTCCAAAAGTTAAACATATAAAGTTTGTTTAAATCAAGTAGTAATTATGATAATCCTTTTTCTCATTAAAAATAACTCAATTTTCATTCAGGTAGTTAAAGAAGGCTTAACTATTTTTTCATGTTGTACTATAAATATGTACTCTATATTATAT